AAATTTAAATTATGTGTTAAAATATATAGACTAATTTATTGAAACTAACCTGGAAAAATAAATATGAATGTCAATTAAAAAATAAAACAGGAGATAAAGTACTCTAATTGGTGCCTTTAAGTGTATTTATTTAATAGTTCATTTATACTAATTCTGCTTTTATTTCTAATTATGTCCGTTTTGGTCCTCCGTACTGCAGAAGCCTGATAATCATATATTCATTCAAATCAGGTGTGTTGGAGCAGAGAAACAAGTAAAACATGCAGGGCTGCGGACCTCCAGGACCAGGATTGCCCACCCCTGAGTTAGAGGAAGTGTTTCTGTCTTCTTCTTCTGTTGTGTTGTTTCTCTGCAGGGTTACCTGTAAAGACAACTACTTCCTGAGTGACGGTCTGTACGTCCGTAAAGAGCAGCTGGAGAACTCCAAACCTCTGAGGCTGAGTGTAGTGAGAGTCCATCCTGTGAAACCACCACACACATCAGTTAAAGGTATTTCTTTTGTATCCGAGGTTTGGTATGTGTGAGAAAATATTAGGAAACATATGAAATGTTTAATAAATTTGACTGTATAAAAAAGAAAAAGTAAGATCGTTTTGTAAGAAAATATACGTGTTCAAAGACTGAAGTCAATATGAAAACCGTCACTGTTAAATAACATGATTTTTAGAAGGAATAAAACCATACAACACCAGAATTCTGGAGTGAGGGTTTATTGTCACCGGAGCTGACAGGAAACCACACACTGACCACAAACCAGGAAGTTGATCCATTTACTGTATACAGGGTCTTCAATGCCTGCGTTCGCCCCCTACTGACCTACGGCTGAATCACAGGCATTCAGACAAAATCCTCAACACCTTCTTCAATGCCTGCGTTCGCCCCCTACTGACCTACGGCTGAATCACAGGCATTCATACAAAATTCTCACCTACTGTTCTCATAACGGTTAAATATGTGTTGTTATATTATTCAGACATGTAACTAATCTATCAATCAAAACATAATAGATTAAACATTGTCAACATTATAAAAAGAAAAACCTAACAATAAAGTGTTGTGCTTTTAACATCAGTACTAACCTGTAATAACTACAAATTTCTTCAGTTTGTTAGCAGCAGCACATCTCATTAATGTTGGGACAGGATCGTTGTTACCACCATGAAGCAGTTCCTCTTTTACTAACAGTTTGTAAATGTCTCTGAGGAGACCAGCTGCTGCAGATTTTACAGGGTCTTGTTGTCCAGTTGTTGTCTGGTGTAGGATTGTAGTTGTTCAGCAGTCCCGGGTCTTTACTGGATGAGAGAGGAGGAGCAGAATGTGATGCTGGTGCTCAGATGAAAGACACACATGAGGATTTGTACCGCTGCCACCAAATCATCCTGGAGAAAAGAAAAAAAGAGACCCAAAGACCTAACTTATTGATTTTTTTTATCAATTTATTCTAAAGTAATGTCTAACAGAAAGATCTCAGGGAAGAGAGAGATTCAAGCAAAATGATTTGTCTGACCTATGTTGTTTAACGCAGTTTGCTCACTCAAAGTGCTGCTTAGAGTGATGTTGTGTCATTGTAGCATTATTCAGCCAGAACAAGAGAAAAAATTTTTTTTCCAGACTTCTGACAAACTGGAAACTGTAACTCTTTCAACTTGGAACTGACATTAATTTGACTTCACAATTTTGAGTCCCACTGCACATGGAAAGCAGCATTAGACCTGGAGGGGGGGTGGAGTGTGTGAAGCCTCTCATTTGCATTTAAAGAGACAGTAGCCAAACGGGTTGATCTGAAATACACTTGAGAAACAAAGACTTGTGTAGCTACAGCAGGGGTCTGCAACCTTTACGATCAAAAGAGCCATTTGTCTCACTAACAAAATGTGTTCGGAGCCACAAAACAAGCTACAACTGCTATTATCAACTGCTGGTCCGTGGGCCTTTTCGAGGCCTTTTCAGAAATCTTTACGGTCAGTGAAGGTGACATTATAAAAAAAAATATATTGTTATTATTAAAATATTATTATTATACACATCAGCATAAATAAAAAGACCATATTCATGTAAACAAACAAAAAAATAGTTTATACTAAATTTTATAAAAACTAGTACAACTGAATTATTCAGGCATTTTTTTATTCTTGTTATTATGTGGTTTTCAAATTATTTAAAGGTAATTCTGGTGGATTTGAGAAAAAGATCGTAGAAAGAAAATGGAATATTTAAGTAAACATGTTAGCATGAGCTAACATGTTTTACTTTTTGTATAGTAGTATTAATTACATATTTGCATACAAATTGATTTCTGTTGTGGGTATAAAAACAACAAAACAATTTATTCTGTTATGCTTAGTCACATTTTCAAAGAGCCACATGTGGCCCCAGAGCCGCAGGTTGCAGACCCCTGAGCTACAGTAACCAGGTGCACTGCAGTTCCACTTTATACTGTATAATAATTAATGATAATTTTATGTGGTTCTAACTTTGTCAGAATGTAATGTTTTATTTATTTAGTTCTATCATTACTTTTTAATTTATTGTACTTTTTTAATATTAAAGCTTCGTCTTCTCAAGTTTTATTTATACTTTCAGTCTTATTCTACACTTTGTGTGTTGTTTGGTTTAAGGACTCGACACAAAGCAGGAGCTTCATCCAGGTTTGTGTAAGAAAGCTCGGACAGATGGGAGGGAAGATGGAGCTCAGCCTCTCTCTGCAGCCTCCGACACACTGCAGCCAGCAGAGGGCAGCAACATCCAGGAACAGCACAACAGCAGTGGGACAGGAGAGGAAGACCATGATGATGATGATGAAGGATCAACCAGTTACATTGTTGAAAGAATAACTTCAGTTCTTGGTAAAACAGATGCGTATGTCCTGGACATTGACTTGGATTTCTTTTCCTGTAAAAATCCTTTTAAGGATTTATATTCAGAGGTAACGTCTGCACAGAATCAGTCCAACACTGCATGATGCTTCTTCCAGTGCTTTATTATCTCCAGTTCATCTTTGTGATCAGCATTTAGTTTGTTATGACACGTGTCAGATTAGGTCTCTTTATTCAGCCAATCTTTGCTAAAAGATGAACTTATTTTATTTCTCAAAATCAAACCTAGAAAAAAACACAATATTTTTATATTCCAAAAGAAAAGAGGTGATAAATGAATGTCAGTAATGACTTGAGGGAAGAGATGAATAATGTTGAACTGACCTGAGCTCTGTGTCTCTGTCCAGGAAGAATATTCCATCCTTAAAGAGCTCTACAACTTCCAGGTCCCCGACCCGAGTGCTGACGAGGTCAGAAAACTTCATTCTTACATTCAATAATCAACAGAACTGAGTAGAACCATCAAAAATAATTAGAACTTACTCACCTTACAAACACTGTAGTAATCTGTAGAGCTTTGCAGAACCTCCTTACATTACAGGAAATAATCCACAGGAATATGTAGAATTTGTTTGGTCAGTGTGCATTGCCAATGCAATGCACACTATTGTGATTCGTTTCTCATCCAAGTMATCTCCACTTTGGCATGCTTCTCCTCCTGCATACTTTGTCCTAGAGCTGCCATTGTAATTTATATTTGTAAAGCTCTTAAGCCAAATGATGGCTATGACCTTTGGTGCCTGTACAACTTATATTTTTGGAAATATTAATGTTTAATAATTTATAATGGAAGTCAATGGAGCCTAGTATTTGTCCAATACTGTCCCTGCTGTATCTACTTAGTACTGCACCATAGTTTAATAATATTTAATCTCAATAGTTCAGTGTTTACAATACTAATATGATTGTATTTTGACGTTTTACTATAATATTGTCCTAATGTTGCATTATTGTTGTAATATTTTTCAATCTAGTGACAACCATTACGTTGGCAATGTGGCCACTTTCTGCACACATACAAACCAAACCCTGGCCTCATTCTCTACCACAGCTCTAATGGTCTCATGGTTTGTGCCATGGGCTTTCATGTAGAAGATCAGGGTTTGAAACCCAGCAACAGTAACTTTCACAGAAAATCTCTACAAACTTCATATTGTCACACAATTACCCTTATTACAAACACCTGCTGACTTGACAAGCACAAGCTGGTATAGAAAACACATTTGAACTTGGTCACATTTCATTCTGCAAGTCCACTGCTGCAGGCAAAGACATGCTACAAGGCAATGCACACTTGTTTTTACATCGTAAAAACCCATGTCTAGTTTATATCTACAATCCTAATCTATTAAACTAAGTAGAAGCTTCAGATCTTAAACGTACTAATCCAGAGAATTTATACTGTGTTTATATACTGGTGTGGAATAAGAGTCCTCTGGGACATTACAGATTAAACAAATAAAGTAAGACAGCTGGACCAGCTGAATAAACAGATCATATCCTGCAGTTTTAAACTTGCAACTCCAACTCTCTACTTTAGAATTAAGAAAGTTTTCCACATAAGAAGAACACATCTTCAACTTCAGAATAAAAGTCCAGTTGTTTTTTATTTTTTATTTTTTTTGTTTTCCATGTCCTGGATGACTGAGAATCAACACCAGCTCACTTTAAAGGGATCCACGATTACTTGTAACATTAGACTTTATTTGATAAACATATATTTTAACTGTAAAATAAAGACTGTAAAAATACTGTAGGCTGTTCAGTTTTTATCATTTTTAAACGAAAAGTTTCAAAATATATTACACAGACGGGACCATTTCATTTACCCGCAAAGCATTCTGGGTAAATGATTACGTGGATAGGTCGTTGGTGTGAGCGAGCTATATCCACCCTGAAGGTTAATGTTGGACAATATCTGATGATCGACTCTTTTAAATGAAACCAGAGAGCGTTGACAGAGAGGAGAAGGTAGAAATGACTCAGCCTGGAACTGAAAATATGGATGGAGGACAACAGAGCTGTTTCATGAAGAAGAAGCTTAGCCTGTTAGCTTTAGCGTTAGCCCCGACGCTAGCACCATATATGTATTAGCTCAGCGCTACACATTCTCCTCTCGTCACTGAGGTCCTCCATCCACATGACAGAGAGGGGAATGCAAAATTGACTCAGCCTGCAACTGAAAATATGGATGGAGGACCTCAGTTTAGCTTGTTTGTTTGTTGCGCTAGTGCCAAGCTAATACATATAAGGCAATATAGCGCCGGCGCTAACGCTAAAGCTAACAGGCTAAGCTGAGTTTCTTCTTCCATGAAGCAGCTCTGTTGTCCTCCATCTATATTTTCAGTTACAGGCTGAGTCATTTTTACCTTCTCCTCCCTGTCAACGCTCTCTGGTTTCATTTAAAAGAGTCGATCATCAGATATTGTCCAAGATTAACCTTCAGTGTGGCTATAGCTCGCTAGCAGCCTCGCACCGAGGACCTATCCACGTCATCATTTACCCAGAATGATTTGTGTGTAAATAAAATGGCTCCGTCCGTGTTAAAATATAATTTTAAAAATGTACAAAACTAAACAGCCTACAGTATTTTTACAGTCTTTATTTTACAGTTGAAATCAATGTTTATCATATAAAGTCTAATGTTACAACTAATCAGGGATCCCTTTAAACTCTTCCAGGAACTGATTTCTCCTCCCTCTGTTTTATTCTGAGTTTCTGTTGGGGATCAAAGGTCAGAGAGACTTTATCTCCTCTCATCACAGCGTGTGTCTCATTCTTCCTGTCATATAAAGAAACATCTTCATGTCAACAGTTTCTGTTAGAAACACTGTTTTAAACAGTGTTTTTACTATTTCTGGTTTATTTGACCAAGTTTACATGTTTCACATACAGAGTTTGACTCTGGTCCTACTTGTTCTTGTTTAAACCTGCACTTACTGCACATTTATTACATTTACAACAAATAACAGATTACTGAATCTCTGTGTGGTGAAACATAGATCTAATTAGACATGGGTGGACAGACTGGTGGACCATCAGAGAACAGACTGAATGAAGACTGAATGCAGGTTCACCAGCAGCTCGTGTTGCAGGTTCAACTTATTCAGCTGCAGCAGGAAGTTCAGAGATGCATCAAACAGTAGAAATACAAGAAAAGTCCTGAGGCTGCTGTTTGAAGTGTGACCTTAATGTTTTTCATGATCCAGTCAGTGAACAGGGCTTCCACACGGTGTTCTCACTGTATACAAAGCTGCTGTATTTTTCTGTAGTCCTGAATAACGTGTATCTCTGTGTGAAGGACGAGCTGGATGAGTGCGTGGACCGGCGCACACATCAGTTAGAAGACCTGGAAGCTGCGTTTGCTGATCTGTTGGAGAATGATGATGATGAGACGGTGGAACGATGGAGCAGAAACCCAGGGTAATGTTCCCCTGATGGATCATTTAGAAACAAACTGCATGATGCAGCAGTTTTACAGAGTTTCATGTGTAATATTATTTCACTTTTTAAACTGTAGATGGTCACTCAGCTGTAAATTAAAGCTGTGATTTAATTCAGGGGTCTCCAATCAGTAGCTTGTGAGCTACCGGTAGGTCGTGGGGTAATTTAAAGTGCATCTTACCCCCCTGTGAAAAGATAACTCCGCCCCAAGGCGAAATTTGAAAAATGCATCAAAGTGGGTAGGGGAGGGTGTGTGTGTGTGTGGGGGGGGGGTGTTAGAGAGCGGAGGTGTGGCCAGGACGAGAGAA